ATTATGTTTTGCTGTCAAATTAAGAATTTTTTATTACCATTAAACTACTGAAAATTTCTATGAAAATTTCTGGTTAATTATAGTTTTTCCTTTTTTTTTTTTTTTTTTTTTCCCCTCAACTTAGCTGTTCCTTAAAGGTGCATTGGTGGATGTTAGACACATAGCAAAATGTTTCCTTCAAAACTTTATGCTATTTAATAACGCATTCATAGTCTATCAAAACAATCACGGAAATTCTTGTCTGGAGATTTGGCTTGTCCTCAACAAAGGATGAGGATACGACAAACGCTGCTACAGATTCCCACTGCAGCCTCTAGAATATGTAGGCGCTCAAGACTGGTCACTGAAAACTACCATGTGATTTGTATGAAGATATTTTTATACAGGGAATGTTAGACTGCCATATACCATAGAATAGTTTTATTTTTTTGTATGCCTTCCTGCATTCCTCTCTGAGGGTAATATGAGAGATGAGGTAGATAACTGGAAGACCGGCAAGGACTTTGTGAAGGTTTTTCCTTCCTCATTTTTATTTTATGCTTTGAAGTGATGGAAAATGCACTGTAAATGATTTTTTTTTTAAGTATGTCTAAATGAGTATTTAAAAATCATCTTGAAGGGTATTATTTTCTGGAAGGGGCTATGCGGAGTGGGAACCACCAGTCCATGTCTTTATGCCAGACTGAAAACTCATCTTCCAAATCCATAGCTTTGCCATTAAATTGGACTGTGTTGGAGGGTGAGCAGAGCTGTAGCTGTCTGAGCTAAATATGTTGGCAGTTCTTCATGTGATGCACCTGCCCCATGTTGGGAGAGGCATATGCCCATGCTGTGATTGCTACGCACTGAACGTCGCTGGACAGCATGCACCATGCCCTGTCTCAGGGGAAAGGAGCGGGTCTGGGTATTTTGCGCAGCTCTCAGAGGAAGGTGCCTCTTTCACTTACTTAAAACAAAGCAATCTTATACAGTTTTCCTTTATTACTCCCTGCCGGTTCAACGTGTGCCCTTACTCACCTTCTGTGAGAGTAGCTGAAAAATGTTCTTTGGGACTTTTTTCCTCAGTTTTAATGGCAAAGGAAGGAAATGCTCATAGCTTTCTTGCATGTAAATAGAAATGGAATGGATGGAGAAGAAATGGCCTAATTGTGTTGGTTTGATCACTGTGACAAATGAGGCAGGACTCTGCCATATTTTAGAGCATATGACCTGTAGGGTAGTTTTTGTAGCAAAGGTTCTGGTAAGCTCACAAGATTATATATATATGAGCAGGAGATACTCTGTCATCAAAAATCCTAAAGTAGGCAACAGAAATGACAGCAGGAATGTTGTTATGGAGAGTTTGCTTCATTCCTTCATAACCAAACACAGATATGAAAGTGTAGTCCTATCTTGGCAAATGTCGGCGCACATTGTTAAGAAGCATCTTCTTTTTTTGTTGGGATTGTTATTTGTCCATCAGTCTTCACTGGGGAGAATTTGTGGGGAGCTGGAATGTTTGACAAAATTCATTTCTGCAAAGCTTTCTAGAATGGAAAATTGTACGCATGTTTACTAAGCAGAAACAACACCACCTTGCGGCCTGTGATCTGTGAGCGCTCCCTTTCCCGATTAGTAAAATATGGGATTATGCTGGGACTTAATACTGTAAGGATGCTGTGAGGAGAATCCAATTAGTTGTTTGTTGGTCTACTGCTAGCTTTAAAGAGTCTATTTTACTGTCTAAGTAGCTACAAAAGAAGAATGGCGATGAGAACATTAATAAGTAGAGGCCCGTTTCTAAAAAGTTAAGTTAAAAATATTTCATGCATTAACATAATTAAATAAAGAAAAATCCCCTGCAAAACTGGATGTTATTTAATGTTTTTTGCTTTAGGTAAAACTTTAATTTAAAGTAACATGTTATATATACTTTATTAAAACATAAATAGTGGCAGGTAATGTAATATCTGTGAGTTACCAAGCAGATTTGAATTACTGTGATGTTAGGAGGGATGAGCAGCAATTTAACAAGCATTAAGAGTGGGAGATTTTTTAAATTAATGAACTTTTTGAAAAGGAATGCAGTGGTTTTGTAATTACCTTTTTGAATTTAATGTTTGAAGCCTTGGAAGAGGAAATGTATAAAGTTTGAATGAACATAATTCTTTAGCAGTAAAAACGTTCATGGTTTAAAAAAGTTTTCTAATATTCAATAAAAGTATTCGTATACGAGATATGCAGCTAGCATGAAAAGGATAAGAACAAAGAACATGAAAAGAGGTTCTTGGAGGCAAGAAAATATGTGTAGGAGTTGCATATTCTTCTATTAACATAAGAAAAGGTTCCCACAGGCAGTTTAATTTTCCTCTGTTATATCTTGTAACTTAGACGTTGCTCTTACAAACCTGTTTCAGTTTGTAATCAATTTTTATTATAGTCTGTAAGATTAGCTTTTCAATAGCTCACTGTTTTTTTTTTTCCAATCGTAAGTAGTTAAGTATTTATCTTTATAAGACTCTGTAGTTTTAGCTTACTCAGAATAGAATATGGTGAAGCATGCAGCCCTTCAAGGTGGAGAAGGTGCCATCTTATCCTGGCGTTCATGGCCTCGGACCATCATAAGGATGAGTTCTGGCTACTAAAGATGGCATTTTGTTTACTGCTGCAGTCCCCCATAAACTCTGAGTATGATATTTAAGCCTTTCGATTCCTGAGAATGAACATGAGAAAGAAAAGAAAGCAGAAGGACACCCCAATCACTGAAATATTTAAGGGGTTGTGATTAATGATGATTAGGATTGTGGGGAAGACTCCATTACAGTTCAGTGATAAGAAATATCTAGAGTGAAAAGAGGTACAAGTATAGACACATCTAGTTTTAAAAAAGATTACACATTTGCATATTATTCACATATTTATATACTGTTTTCTGTTTTTCTGTTGTACTAGCAAATTTTTGTCTTTCCAAACTTTGGTGGCGTTCAGAATACGACATACTATACGCTACTACAGTTGGAATGCACTCAGAGATTTGATTTCCTAACCCAGCAAAGATACCTGCAGCATCCAGAAAGTGGGGTGGTGGCCCAGATTTCAGCTACCAGCAGTGGTTGTGCAGTGTCAGGATCATGTCCATGGACTCATATCAGCAATAATAAGTTTCTTGCAACTTCTGCTCTGACTTTTCCTATCTTAAGTTCATCATATGTACTTTGTGATGGGGCACAATCCGGAGGTTTTTTTTTTTTTAATGCTTCCAGTCAAGTGAATATCTTATCACTGTCTTCAGTGTCTTAGATGGAATCTACATATTTGCAGATATTTTTGACCAAGCTATTTGGTTTGTATTTTAAATGTATATTTAAGGTATTTTCAAAACTTTTTATTGAATTGATACCTTAGTGATAGCATTTTAATAATATGACAGAAAAGATCTAAGGACAGAATGTTAAGTTTCCACTTTGGTCCCCCTTTTCCTATTCTCTAATATCAATTAATAGAAAAAGTTATAGGTTTTCCTACTTAATACCAATTAATAGAAAAAGTTCCAAGTTTTACTACTTAGCTGTTTCTTGGATTGGTATTTAATTGAAATGTCCATTAATACCCGTCAATATGTTTAACAGTTGTACTTAGTTACTAATAAGACTTTCTAGATGTTTGTTAAATATCGAGTACTCTGGTGATCAGTGCTGTAAGAATGTAAAATGAATGATTATCAACCTACAAAGATTTTACAAAGACTTTATTTTCAGTCAGGACAGTTGCATATTCCTCATAGATGTCAGAGCAAAAGTAGTTGGTTAGGCAGGGCTGAAAGAAGGTACCTTAATCTTGTACGTAGTCTTCCTTGTCTAACTGGTGGTGTGGGAAAATTAAGGTAAATGCTAGTGAGAGAAGCATATTTGTGCAGAATGTGAGGGGACCTCAAGGTTGGAGACAAAGTGGTTACGGTAGTCAAAACAGCAGGTGAAAAGAGATCTGCTATTGTCTTGGTGTAACAAAAATATATAATTTTGAAAAAGAAACAATTCTTCGGAATTATTGTCAGTGGGGAATAAATAAAAATAGCTATTATGTTTGGAGATGTAGAAAATAGCTCTCTAAAATCTATTAATTTGTAAGTAGTATTGGAATTTCCACCATTTTCCCTTTTATAGATTGTCATTAATTTTCTTTACAGTCTAGGTTGTGATTTGCGTGCATTACTTTATATGAGCTTAAAGCTTTCTGAAGATTAAAAAAAAAAGAAGTGGTCCTTCTTATTTTCATATCTGTTACACAATAATGATGTGGCCTTACTGGTGGAACGATGGAAAAATCTGGGTTGGAGGGGACTTCAGGGAGGACATTGGATCCTACCTCCTGGTTAGAGCAGGCCAACTTCGAACTTGCTCAGGGCCTCTCCCAGTCAATTTTGGAATACCTCCAAAGATGCAGCTTTCACAGTTTCTCTGGACAACCTCTTCCATCATTTAGCCACTCTTGGGATGATTTTTTTTTTCTAATATCTAATAGTAATTTTAATTGCTACATCTTGTATGCACTGTTTTTTGTCCTTCTGTTGTGCAACTCCAACAAGAGTCTGGCTCCATCCTCTCTGTGGTCACCATTAGGTAGCTGAAGACAGCTGTTAAGATTCCCCTCTCTCTGCTCCAGGCAGATAAAGCCGAGCTCCTCCACCCTTCCCTCACAGGGCAAGTGCTTCAGCCCTGACCATCTTGGTGACCCTTCGTTGAGCTGCCTCCAGTTGATTCGTGTTTTTCTTGTACTGGATTCCCACGCTGGACCCAGTACCCCAGGGGTAATGTCACCAGTGCTCAATGGAGGGGAAAAATCACTTCCCTTTGCTTGCTGGCTACGCTTTAACCTGCAATGCAGTAGGTGACTGGCTTTCATAGTCTCAAGGATATAGAAGATCTTTTGAATTCACTGAAAGTAAGAGAAAGAAGAAGCGTTAGAAAATGCTGTTCGGTAGATCTGTCACTAATGGAAGCTCACGTTTTTCTTTCATCTAGAATGTGCCCCCTGACTTGTCCATCTGCACCTTCGTGCTGGAACAGTCCCTGTCGGTTCGGGCCCTCCAGGAAATGCTGGCTAACACAGAGGAAAAGGCAGAAGGGGTAAGTCATTAAATGTATGCTTTTTTCATCTTGAAAGATACAATTTTTTCACTGTACCACAGACTGTGACTGACACAAGCTGTAGCACGATGAATTCCTTACACTTAATTTTAGTTTCTCCTCCACTACAGGAATAGTCGGATCTTGGAAAATTCTAAACGTTTTCAGCTTTCACTGAAGTTAGCAAGAGTTGTAAATACATCATTCAGTGTGCTGCAGATCAGTATAGAGCTACAAGAATGATTTAATTTGATCTCTTACAATGTGAAACACAAAGCTTGATCACTTCTTTAGGACTATTAAGGTATATGATGATTTATGTCATCATTGTATCAAGTCAGACTAGACTGTCAGATAACTGTAAAATGACTTTGGATATGTGCTGTTTGTCTTTGGAAATAATGAAATTGTTCTGCTTGGCCTGAACTAAAATGTCCAGGAATTCAACTTCAAAACTGGAGATGCAATGTTATTGAGTAGTGAGGAAGAAATACGGAAATTTAACTTTTTTGCACATTGGAGGATGAAAGAAATAGGAATAATGATATTCTGTTACAAACTGCTATTTACAAATAAATCAAAATAGTGTAATTTATGTTGTCTGCTGTGTAGTTCATTGGATGCTATGATGTAGCTTAGTGTCGCATGTACACTTTGTAGAGCTAATTTGAATGTCGTGCTCCATTCCAAATCCTGTAAACTGTAAGTGAGGAAGAGTGACATGGGATGTTTACTGCTAAGCGTAGGAATTATGCAGATAAAACAGAGGTAGCGGTCAACTGTAAATCTGTCGCTCAAGAAAGCTGACAGGAGAGAAGCGTGCCTCTGGTATCGCTGGGAATGCACTGAGAAAGCAAGCTTTAAATGAACGTCAGTCCCATAAAATGCCAGGCACTGAGACTAAAAGTGGTTTTTTTGAAAAATGAAGTCCAAAGTGTGTGCTGTCATTGAGAATTTGTTCCAAGGACTAACTGCAACAAAAGGAGAATGAGAAGCACATCTGAGAGAAGAGGTGATACCAGAGTAAGCAGTCATGCTTCCAGATAGGGACCCCTCCTCTCCTATTTTGCAGATACTGACGCTAAAAGCAAGCAAATCCACAGGAAAAAATGACATCCAAAGTATGTTCATGAACACAGGCATAACGTCAAAAAACACAATCCAAAACCAAGGATATGCAGTGATAGCTAAGAGTGTACAGCAATATATGTAAAGCAGAGCAATAATGTTCTTGCTGTTTCTTCCCATCAAATGTTGATGGGGTCCAGCAACTAAAGCAACTACATAGGGATGAATGTTGAATGGTGCTGTAGGGCAGAGCAAGGGCACAAGTGTATCACTTTGAAGAGTGAAAAAAGATTCAATTATCCATCCTGTCAGAAGAGCTAAAACAGAACTTGGGAAGGAATTATTGTATTTAAAACTTTTTTTTTTTAATTAACAGTAACTGTCAAATTTTCTGTTGGATCTTTTTTAAGGCATAAATGACTGTCCAAGGGCAGGGTATGTCTTTAGCAGAATCCTAGGACAAACTGTTAAGTGAATATCTACTCTTAATCCAGAGATCACATCCAGGAAACATGGAATAAAGAACCAGACTTGCTGCAGAATGGTTAGAAAATTTGAGCTCAGGGTTTCTGCTGGGAAGAAGACAAGTTAGAGATAGTTCTGTAGCGTTCTCAGCTGGGTTATTTGCACTAGATTTGCACTAGTTTTGCAGAAAAAGGAAAAGGCTTTTGTAGGGCCCAGTGACTGGTGGGACTTACACACTCCAAGCTGGAAGGACCAAGCTTGAGGGTAATCTAATGTTTCCTAGAAACAATTATTGATGGTGATTTCTCTGTATAACCATGAAGGAATTGGACATTCATTTATGTGCCTAAAGAAAAGTGCTGAGAGTTATACTATGTACAGTGCTTTTTACCCACTAGTCTTCTGAGACATGTACAAGAAAGATAAGGTAGTGTCTCCGAGTGTCCTTTGGCTGTTACTTATTGTAGTTTGTTGTGCTTTCAACATCTAGTACCCAACTCTAGCAGAAGAGGCAGAGCCACAGCCATACTTTCAACTCAGATAGCTGATATTCACTGAATAATGAATAGTTTTCTACTGCAGATTTTGCCTGGCTTCTGTGAAAATAGGAATCTCCTTGTGTACTCTTGCATACTGATATGTTGGTATCAGACAAGAATAACCTTGTACATCATGACTTGTAAATGGACAAGGCCACGTCAGTGTAAGTTATTATGAAATCAGGGAAAAATACTTTCTTTACTTTCTTTACGGTAAGTCTCTGGAAGGCAAGAATAGCAATAACCCTAAAATGACTGAAAATTAACTTTCTGATAAAATAACAGAACTGACTTTTAGTTTCTGTATGTAATTTCCATTAACATATATATAAAGCTTTCCATTGATCTTCTAAGTGAACATATTATAGGGTAGGTGCTTAATAAGGCAGCTTAATATTTGGCTGAGCAACTGTTAGCACCTATGAGCTTCAAGTTTAATGACTGATGTGGATACTTGAAACTTTATGGGAAGAGGTAATTTTGTGTATACAGCTGAAGCACTATATTTTCAAGGAGCAGTGCCAATTTTTTACTTATATGGAAAAAGACCTATAAATAATCCCATAAATAAGGACTACCATAATGTCTATGCCCAGAGTCTGGGTTCTCATCTCTTAAGCAAGCTGCTCTGTCCTGGGAGGGCCTGCAGCCTATTATTTTGTCATTATTTTGACTTGGTTTTTGAGTGCAACTTTTTATGATTAAAAAAACAAGTGAAAAAAGAAAACACAAATCCTTAGTTTTTTATAAAGCATTTATGATCAGAAAAACCTTTAGGTCACCTATTCTCAGCTTGACTGTTAAATTTTACTAGCGATGCCTCTGGTGAGCCCAATATCTTGCTTTTCACTGAAGCATGTTGCACTGAATGATCCTGAGAGAGTGAATCTACAAATTTCCCAAGTAGTTTGTTCCAAAGAATGATCACTGTCATTGTAAGATGTTAGAAGCGTGCGTCTTTCTTCTAGTGCGATTTTTTTTCTGATTATTTTTTTTATAAAATCTTCCCTTACTAGATTCAAGAGCTCTTTAATATTTAGTTTTTTCTCCTTGTGAAAGTGCTGAGATGCTGTAATCAAATTACAACTCCTGGATGTTTTTCCCTGTTTTCCTCAGGAAATGAGCCCTGGCCATCCATTTGTTAGTACTCTTGTACTGTTCAGCAACTTCTGAGCTTTCTAGACAATATAAGTTATATTAGAAACAGGAGTAGATAATGATGTTCTTCCAAATATGATTAATATTGGATTGGGAAAAAGGACCTAAATTTGGGTCCCTATGAGAGGAAAGAGCGAGCTCAGCTGTTTTACAGTTCCATTGGCTACTCATGTGCTGGTCTTGTCTTCTTACTGCTGTCTGCTGTTCAAAGACGTGCTGTAGGTACATGGGAAGGAAGCTGCCAGGTTGTGGTTGAGTGGAAGGGGTATATAATATTGTGGCTTTTTTGATTTCTGAATTTTAAACATCTTTTTTTTAAAATGTAGACCAAGGACCTGTACATAGTATTCTGTTACTGGTCTCATCTATGTTTTATGACATATATGTTTGTTTATGGATTGGCATAATTATTGTTTTCAATATATAGTGTCTTGTTGACACTGATCATCCTTCAAAGTTCCTAGGATGATTGGTACCTTTAGATCCAGCATGTGGATCTCAACCATGATATCCAACAGGCAAAATAGACGATAACAACGGTTATTCTCCGTTTCTTTGTCAAGATGATGGCCAGTATGCATGAAATCTTAAGCAAATTTGTCTGCTGTAAGTCTCTGTTGATGGCCCAGAGCTGAATTTTTCTCTCTGTCTCTTGAAGGTCTATATTTTCGCCAAATTTGGCCCTGTCACAGAGAGAAAAGCCAGATTCTGTAAAATTCACTGCCAAATCTCTGTTCAGTTGTTTGACAGTTCTAAAACTGCCAAAAGAAAAGGTATCTAGAGACATATCTGACCCAGAAAAGCAATATATGTTTTCTTAGCCTCAGCTGCCTCAGCAACTGATTTGGACTTTTTTGTCTGCAACTTTTGAAACCATCCTTGGGCAAATACCCTGCATAAAAACTAGCCATAAGAATAAAAATTTAGCAGAAAGGATATGCAAATCAAAATAAAAGACATGTAAGGTAGCCTTAAGAATAGCTATTGCTACTGACTCTTGTTAGAAATAAGTTTTAAAGGCATATTTTGTATGCTTCAAAATAAATACTGTTTTTTTTAAAAAGAAGAGTTTGGGGAGTCAGGATGCTGCTACTATCCAGATATATTTAACAAAAGTGGCTAGTTTCATATTTTGTTCTATTCGTATTATTTTAAAGACATGAAAAAAGTATCAGATAGGTAAGGTGGCTGGAGACAGAAAATTAAATTAATTTGATGATAGAGGATATTTTACCATAAGTGAACAAGCAGCAAAGTTGTATATCTTTTTATATTGGCTAGGAAAAAAAAAATCTGCTTTTCCTTTGAAACCACTAAGAGCTTATGATTCAATTAAGCTGCACTTGTGCTTTGCTTGGATTTTCTGAAATATATCCAGCAGTACCACACCATGATATAAATAACATGCTACTCTGTTGTCTTATGAAATATCTTATAGTCATCCTAATAATTCTCTGAAATGAGGCCAGTGAATTTTGCAGCCTCAGGATTGTATGTTAAATGCCATAGCCCAGTCCAAATAAGTTATAACATATATAAATACATACAAGGTATGTAACTCACTTCCACCTGCCACTATGGTATGTGTTTTTGTGTGGATGAGAGATGTTATTATGTCCCATGCAGATGACTGTTAACTGCACGTTTTCATCAAAGTGATGGAGAACTATTAGTAAATTGTCTTTCACAGAAGCTTTAATTATTTTTCTCAGCAGTTGATAACATATTCTTTTCAGTTTGGTCTGCCAGAATAGGAATGAGTACCCCTCA